TAGCAAATGCAGAAGTGAGTTGTATAGCAATAGTAGCACAAGTAGACCAGGAGAGGGAATGTGGAAGTACACTGCTGTAAATTTATTATGCTATATATGAAATGGTATAACACTTCTTGAAGATTTTAATCAGTTAAAGGTACTAATTAGTTAAAGATGTTTATTAAGACACAAAAGTACCTCTAAAAAAAGGAAAAGGAAAAATCAAAGAACTGAGCTAATAAATCAATAAAGGAGACGAAATGGAATTATAAAAAATTAACCTGTTACAGAGAAGTTAGAAGAAGGGGAGAAAGGCAAAAATAATAGATGAGGCAAATAGAAAACAAATACCAAGGAGGCAGATTTAAACCCAACCACACCAATAATGACACCATATGGTCTAAACATATCAATTAAAAGAGATATTGTCAGCTTAGATAAAATGAGAGTCAAGTACATACTGTCATCAAGAAACTCACTGGACATATAAAAACACAAATAGATTAAAAGTAAAAAGAAGGAAAGCAATACACCATGCTAACACGAATTAAAAGAAAGCAGGAAGGACTGCATCAATATCAGACAAAGTAGGTTCAGAGCAAAGACTATAACCAGGAATAAAAAGAGACATTACCAAATGATAAGATGGTTGGTTCATAAAGAGGACATAACAATCCTTTATGTTGATACACCTAGATTGAGCTTCAAAACACATGAAGCAGAAAACAAACAAGCAACACCTGATAGAACTGACGTGAGGAAAAAAATCACAGTAGTTGGAGATGTCAACACTCCTCTCTTAATAGCTAATGGAAGTAGACAAAAAATCTGTAAGGATGAAGACTTGGACAACACTACCAACCAATGTGACCAACTTGATATTTATAAGACACTCCACCCCATAGAAGGGGAACCCATCGTTATTTACCAGTAACAGACAGTATTCTGGGCAATAAGATAAGTCTCAGTAAATTTAAAGGGATTGAAATTATATTAATCATTTTCTTGGACTACAATGGAATTAAATTAGAAATCAATAACGAGCCCTTCTGCTGCGGCTGCCATTGGAAAGCAGCAGTCATGGCCCTGCGCTATCCCATGGCTGTGGGCCTCAACAAGGGCCACAGGGTGACCAAGAACGTGAACAAGGCAAGGCACAGCCGCCACCGCAGGCGCCTGACCAAGCACACCAAGTTCATGTGGGACATAATCCAATCCGAGAGGTGTGCAGCTTCGCTCACTACTAGCGGCGCGACATGTAGCTACTCAAGGTCTCCAAGGACAAGCGGGCACTCAAGTTCACAAGAAACAGGTAGGGACACACATCCGCACCAAGAGGAAGCTGGAGGAGCTGAGCAATGTCCTGGCCACCATGAGGAAGGTGGCAGCCAAGGAGGACTAAGCCTCCTGGACCCCTATAAAGCCTTTGCAGAAAAAAAGAAAGAAAAAGAAAGAAAGAAATAACAGAAATTTTTCTTATAAATGGACTAACAGCACATTTCTAAATAACCTATCAGTCAAAGGAGAAACGAAAAAGGAAATCAGAACACATTTCCAACGTAATGAAAATGCAAATACAATTCCTCAAAGTTACGGGATGCAGTTAAAGTAAGCCCTAGAGGGAAGTTGTACACTAATGCTTCCTTTTAATTCCTCTTTCAGAAAGGAACAAAAACTTATTTACAAAACGCCCCTCAAAACAATCTCATCTTTCACAATCAGAAACTAGAACAAAAGGAACAAATTAAACTCAAGTAAGAAAAATAAAGGAAACAAAAGTAAAAAATAATTTAATACTGGAAGTAGACAAAAAATCTGTAGATTTTCTTTTTCTTCTAGAAAAAGAAAAACAATAGAGAAGAGCAATTTAAAAATAAGTGGGTCTTTGAGAATATCCCTTCTTCCTTTCTGATGGGAAATAAAATAAAACTTTTTCCTTTCTGATAGGAACTCAGGTTCGACTGGACTGTTAGGAAAACAGATGTTCAGAGCAGGTGGAGGGAGGGTCTGGGCATCCCTTCTCAGAAGACATCATCAGTTGCTTTTGCAAAATCTCCCTGAAAAGTTACTGTTTGTATGGAAATTGTGCTTTAGCTGCTTTTAGCACTTCTATTAAGACATAGAGAAAATTGTGTTTCGGTGTACCAGGTGGGCCAGAGAGTTCGCCCTGCATACCAAGACAAGGTCAGTGCCTGGTCCTTGGGTGCTGGCCAAGTCCCAAGTGGCTGTTTCCCAAGGCCCCACCCTTCACCATCATCTGCCCTAGACATCACTGTGCTTATTCTGAGTTTGGGCTCTGGCAGAAGCAGCCTCTCTCTTCAGGGGCACTAGGGACTTAGGGGCAAGGTTGCTGGCTCCCTCTGACCAGCTTCCTTGTCCACACTCACCGGGGTGGGGTGTAGTCAGAGCGGCCACCAGCCCTCATCTTTGCAGACCCTGCCCGGGACTGTTGCCTGAGGGGTGTTGTGACAGGGGTGAGGCTGGGTCTCGGACAGTTGAGGTACTGCTCAGTGGGGTCACAGGGAGGCAGTCAAAAGGCCAGGAGGCTGAGGTAGGGACTCTGGGGAGGCGGAAGTTAGAGGGCTGTGATGGACTGGGGTCTGTGACTGTCCTTGGATTTGGTCTGGAGTCCTGCCAGGCCACAGGTCCCACTGTGGCTGCACAGGAAGTCTGACCCTCCCTGGAAGTGCAGCTCGCTCCCACTTCTAGGCCTTTTTCAGGGCCCACACAAAGCCTCACCCATGCTGTCCCTGCATCCTTTTACCAGTCCCCACTTTGGGAAGACTTCCCTGACCCAGGGGTGGAACTCACTCCTCCTTCCATCCTAGAGTTTTGGTGTCCACAACCCTGGATTCCTGAGTTTGGGGAGTGCGAGTGAGGCACTGGACTAGACACAGAGCATCCTCTTCCCCAGTGGTGGCTGTCCCTGGCCCCTGGACGTGAACTCCTGTGGCCAGCCTGCCGTGGGGCAGGCTGGAGCCACTTCTGGTCCAGCCTTGGTTTCCACACAGGGAAATGGGGATGGTCTGAGCCTGGGCATCCCTGCCCCTCTTTTCTCTGCCAGACTTCCAGGTCCAGGTACCTTTCCACGCCCTGCCCTGGGTGCTCAGGGGGTCTTGGCCCACCTGTCCAGAGTGGGCAGCAAGAGGTACAACCAAGGCAGTGACAGCACTGATCTGGGCGCTGAAGAATTCTTCTTCAGCAGGCTCCTCAACGTCTGGCCATATGGTGGCCACTAGGGGGCACGCTCCGGCCGGGTAACCATTTCTGGGAAGGGTTCCACAACAGCAGGAGCACTATTCAGGGTCCGGGAGCACCCTGAGGGAAACGTTTGCAGTGCTACAGTGGCTGGGAGGAGGGCAGAGTTTCTTCAGGATGCCAGGGCCACCAATGACAGCCACAGACAGCATATGGGGTGCTGTCTGCACCAGGTGGGTGCCAAGGAAATGGAGTGGCTTGCCCAAGGTCCCTGGGTCAGGGTGAGGAGCCACCCACCTGGGCCATCCTGGGGAGGGCTCACAAGGTAGAGGCAGCACAACCCACCCAGCCCTATCCCTGGCCCACAGCACCTTGGCTTGGGTGAACAGCCCTTCAGGGAGGGGCTCCATGGTGGAGAGATGGACCCCTGGGTCCCCTGGAGGAGAGATGGCCACATGTCAAGGGCAATGGCCTTCCCAAATCACACTCTACCTCTGACAACCGTCCAGCCCCCAGGGCTCTCCACTGAAACAGGGGGATGGATGGAATGGGGAGTGGGTACTGACAATGCTTGTCTCATAGTATATGAGAACAAAGGGGTGAGTGTCTGGACCTGGACTCAGAAGGCACCACTGACCCCCTCACTGGCTGCCACTCCTTCCACTTTCTGTTGGCAGGGACTAGAGAGGGGCTAGGCCACCACAAACTTTCCAGGCTGGGCCTGCAAGGGTACCAGTCCTAGTGGGAGTCAGAAATCTGTGGTGACCCCCAGTGAGGCTTCAGGGCGTAGTAACTGACTGGTCTCCTCAAGCCTCTGGTTCTCTCCAGGAAGGGAAAGCCTGCTTGCTGACGCATCTGCTGGGTGCCTCCTCTCTCACTCCACTTCACAGCCTCATAACCCCCCAAATAGCCAAACCCCAGGTAACAGGCCTAGAACCCAGGCAATGGGCCCACAATCCTCCCCGTCTCTGGGGAACCTCACCTAGCTCATGTGCTCTGAGTCACATTCACCCTGCCCACTAGTTTCATCCCAGTGAGTCTGGCCAGTGGGGCTGCTGGGCTCCCTGTGAATGGGGTTACTCTAGGCAGAGGTACTTGCCCTGGATCATGGCCGTTAGTGCCTACATAGCTCCAAGGCTGGGGGTGGACCTGGGGTGTCTCAAGTTGGCCTCTCTGGAGACTGTTGGATCAAAGTCTCAGAGATGTGGCCTGGGTCAGGGGGATCTCTTCCCTGAGGTCTGCTGTCCCTGGGAGGGGCCTCCCTACCCTCTGCCCTGTGCTCCTACTGAAGCCTCACCCCAGGATCACCTTTTGTCTCTGAGGCTGTTGGAAGGTGTCTAGGCAGGGTCTTGTCTCCCTCCCAGGGCAGAGACTGACAGTGGCATTTCAGGCATTGCTCCGTGATGGGCCCTGGTTGACATGTAACAGAGGCTCAGGGTACCTGTGTGGCCTGATGCCCGCCACCCTCTCCACCCCAGGAGTAGCACAGACACAATCACACTGGTTTTAAATCATTTATTCCCATGCAATGATTTGAGTAGAAAAATAAATGGAAAACAAACAGAATGAATACAAAATAGGAAGGGATCAGAATGACTTCTGTCTCCTGCCCTCCATGCTGCTGAGGGGCTGTATCCTCTTGCCCAGGGGCGTGGGCTGCTCCAAGTTATCAGCACTCCATGCCTTCTGAGACCTGGCCCCAAACTTTCCGAGAAACCCCAGTCTAGGGCATCTGGCACCCATCATGGCAAGGAAAGGGAGCAGCGGAAACTCCCAGGAAGTGGAGGGAAAGGCGTGAAGGGCCTTTCTTGGGGGGAGGGTCACAGGTTGGGAGCCAAGAGGAGGGCCAGGAGGCTGAGGGCCAGCCCCAGGCTGAGGGTGGTGCCAGTGAGAGGGGTGCGGATGGGTGCAGCATTGTACAACCTCTCGTTGCATAGATCGTGCTGGCAGCACTGGGTGGCTTTGGTACCGCTGCTGACCTGGCCTTGCATGGTGTTGGTGGGTGAGCACGAATCCACACATTCCTTCCTCACCAGGTTCCCCGCCAGAGGCTCCACTGGACACAGGGAGGTATGGTCAGACCTCCCATACCCCATGCATGCCTCCCAGCTCGCACCCACGGCAGTCCGAGTCCAGCTCCCGGCTGGCATCCTCCACCTCTGGGCCACTATTGCCACTGTGACCAAGCCATCACCACATCACCCTTACCCAACCACCCTGGGGATGCCCCCCCGAAGCCCCAGGGCACTTGGACAGATGTCACTCACCTGTGGTCATGGTCCTGCAGAAGAGAGAGCTGGCTGGGCAGATCTGGGGCTGCTTGCAGTTGGAGGTGCTGGTGCATACATGGCAGCGCAGAGCGTAGACTGGAGGGCAAGGGAGCCAGGGGCTCAGCAGGCCTGGTCCACCCCTCAAAGACCCTTCCTGAACAACCCCTGCAACCCCAACCCTAGACACATCTCCCCCAAACCCTGGGCCCTGCCAGAGCACAAGTCCTGAATATGGCCTCAGGGGATATCTGCTTGGGCCCTGGTACCCTACCTGGAGGAGGTGTCCTGCCCCAGACTCTCCTACCTGGGGAATAGCGAGGAAGCAGATCTGGAGTATATTGCAAATCCTTTCTCCAGGGGCCTCCAAGAACTCTAGGATTATTCTAAGAGCAGCTCACAGGACACAGCTGCTGTCCTCCACTGCAGGGCTGACCCTGGAGTGGATGGTCGATGGTTCTGAGGGCCTGACTGAGCTAAGGCTCCAGGGACTATCAGCTTGGCTGCTCTGAACCTGTGGGAGGAAGGGCTCTGTGGCCTCTGGGCCTATCCTGGGAGGGATCTGGGGCCTGGGAAGGGGCTAGTGCAGGGGCGGGCAACTCCCTGGGGTGAGGCATCTTAAGACAATTCCCAGCTTTCTCCCTCCCAATGTCTGTGACTCCATGGATTGATTCTAAGAATCTGATTCTGAAATATTGTGAGTCTGTGATTCTATTAAGTTAAGATGTTGGCTTCATTTATTTTAAATTAGAGTTGTTTAGCATCCCACAGCATCAGTATTTCATGAGACTAGAGGTCAACAACTCTAGTCTTCTAGTGTTTGGTGATGACCCATGGGCCCAGCCTGGCTGAGGCCAGGGTCTGGCACCCACCCACCCACCCACTCCCTTAGCCTA